ATGAAGCTGGGCGAAGCGAAGACAGTTGTCACGAGTTTGAAACCCGACCCAACGTGACGACGAGGAGCCCCGGGGTCGAAAAAAGAAGCCAGAAGAGTCAGAGAAAAGGCTGCTTTTCAAACTCCGTTTGATCATGGGACATCCCGACACTGGGAATTTCTGTCGCGTCCTGCGAGCTGGAGGCGTGAAGCCTCACCTCGTCCGATGGCGGGGCCAGTGCTTACGTGTTCCGAGTGCGAGGAAAAACGGAGAGATGGTGTCCATCGGAAGGTAGCTCTGCCAAGGGCGTTCCGTTTCAATCACATTGTTGGAATTGACTGGATCTTTATAGAGCTTCAGGGCAACACCCATCCCGTCATCAACGTTGTAGATCATGGCTCCCGCCAACAGGTGCGCCCTCGAGTCAGCGACGCCCGACCTGCTACTGCATGGGCGGGATTCACGACGCGCTGGATCCGACCTCTCGGTGGCCCGCACCTTCTTATTTCGGATGGGGGGTCTAAGTTTGGGAGGGGATTCGCGCGCGGACTCGACCGGCGGGGTGGCAGGCACCGCGCGCGCGACGCCGACTCCCCGCGGCAGAACGGGCGGGCCGAGCGCCACGGGGGCTAGATTAAGGAAAGACTGAAGCTTTGGATGGAATCGGGCCCTGGCGACCCCTCCAATCGCGAAGAACTCGACGCCCTCATGTTTGAGCTGACCGCCCATAAGTATAGATGCTGGCACAGGGGGGCGTTCTCCGTTGCAGCTCGTGCTCGGTGAAAATTCGCGCTTGCCTCGCAAGATCTTTTCTGACGACTCTCTGGGGCTCTCGGGCTGGCATGATCTCGCGGGGCCGCCGCCCGAACAGGGCGATGCTGGCGCGGAGTTCTCGCGGGCCCTGGAGATCCGAGCAGCCGCCAGGCGGCTCGCGATGGAACCAACCGCGAAGGAGAAGATCAGCAGGGGCCCCCGTGCTCGCACCCCCGCCCCTCGCATCTTTACGCCAGGTCAGTGGGTGCACGCCTGGCGTCGCGTGTCAAGGGCGACATCGAGAGCTGACAGTCTAGGAAGCCGTAGGGGCGGATGGACTGGCCTCAGGGTTGTCGTTCTTGCCGAAGGGGGAACCGTTTGGGTTGCTATGCGGGTCCGTCTCTGGGCACGTTCCAATGAGCAGCTGCGCCTCGCGAGTTCCGATGAAGAGTGCGGAATTCAGCATGCCCAGACGCCGAAGCGGCAGGGATTCTTTAGGCAGTCTGACGCTCGCAGGGCCACCGTGGTGGATGTTCAACGCGAGGGTCCGCCGCCTGAGGATGCTTGGGGCGAGGCCGCCAGGCAGAACCTCGACGCTGCCCCCCGCGCGTCGGGAGACCTGGGCCCCGAGCCCCAGGAGGCCCCTTCCAGGGGGGCCCCGTCCCTCGGCCGGGGGCTCTGGCTGGCCAGGTCCGGCCTCTGTCTTCAGGAGAATGCCGAGGCGTCTCCCAGAAGCAGCACCTTCCGGGCAGACTCCATGGAGGCCAGAGCTGGATCCGACCTCGCCAGGGCCAGGACCAGGGCGCTTGCGGACGGAGAAAGGACGAGTCCTCCATCACCCAGCGGAGGTTCGGCGACCCCGCCTCCGGCGGCCCCCGATGGGGTCGGAGGAGGAGCTCGAACTCTCCCCGTCGCCAGGGCCACCCAGAGAGGCGGGGCCTGAGCAATCGAGGCCACCGGGGCGCCCCCCCCCTAGAGAGTCGATCGCCGCCTCGCCGCCGCCGCTCCAGTTCCCTGGCGCCGTCGAACCCAGGGGGCCGGCGCGCCCCAGGAGATGGGTTCAACCAGCGGGCGCCCCCGCGCGCATCCAACGGCCCCGAGGGATTCCCGAAAGAGCGGCCAGCGAGCCACCAGACGTCAAGAGGGCCAGGACTGAAGAAGGACCGCCACCTGCCCGCTTGCCCGCCGCTGCCGCCCCCCCCCCCGGCCCCGGGAGAGATCAGCGGGGGCGCGCCGCTCCGCCGGAGCGCGGGCGAGATGTTGAGGGCCGTCGAGAGCGGGCGACCCCCGAGGTCCAGGCCCCTCCGCAGAGGCGCCAGAGGACGAGAGGAGGAGAAGGAGAGCGAGGATATTGCGGGGGGTCCGGTCTGCGAGGTAGGCTTTGGACTCGGCCTGCGCCGTGTCGCAGGATGTCGAAGGCGAAACGTTCGCGGCCAGCCGTGGCGGCGAGGTGTCTCTGAAAAATCCGAGGCCGTCGGGCCGCGCCAAGTTCGATGCCCCTGACGGCGCGGAATGGAAGGCCATGGAAGAGTCAGGACGGATCGAGGTCATCCCGCCCGCGCGAACGAAAGTCGCGAGGAAGGAATAGTCCGACCGGATAATCTCCAGTCGGATGGTCTGCAGAGGTGGAAGCCGGTGGAAGGTGCGCCCAAGGAACCCGAGGCCAAATCCTGGTGGCGCGTGCACGGCCGCAAGGATCCAGACGCCGGCGCCCTGCAGGTGCATTCACCCACTCTCCAGACGTTTAGTATCAGGTTGTTCGTTCAAGCGATGATGAGCATGGGCATGTTGGCCGCCATCGCGGACGTCAGAAATGCTTTCGCCCAGTCGGACAAGATGTCTCGAGCACAGGGGGAGATCTTCGTGGAGCCGTGTGAGGGGGTCAACGTGCCGAGGGGGTCGTTGATCCGTCTGAAGGTAAACGTGCACGACGACGCCCCCGTGGCCTGGCGTCGTACCGTGGCCGCTCACCTCGAGCCCTACGGGTTCACTCGTGCACTGATGGACCCGTGCTGGTGGTGTAGGTACAGTGCTAAGGGGGACCTGCTGAACGTGATTATCCTCGAGGTCGATGACTTCTTCATCGCAAGCTCGTCAGAAGAGAACAGAGCGTGGCTCCGTCGCGTCCTCGGCGACCGGTTCCGTTTCGGCAAAGACAGGGACTTTCGAGCAGGCCTGGTAGACTTCGCCGGGTGACGGTGGGACCGAACCGCGCCACCATCGATATAGGAGAAATATATCTTAGAAAAAGTCCGACCTGTGTCGGTCGCAAAGGGTCGCCTCAGTCGCGGGGATGCACCGCTGGAGGAGTCCGAGTTTGAGTCTCTCAGGTCACTGGTCTACAAATTTCATTGGCTTGGCCGAGAAGTGCGTCCAGAGGCTGCCGGACCGGCGAGCATACTCGCCAGCCGCCTGAAGTCACCCGCCGCGGGGGGCATCACGCTGGCCAACAAGCTCGGCAAGTATTTGGGATCCTTTGCGTCCCGCGGGGTCATCGCGTGGAAGCTGAAACCAGAAAGTATGTCCTTCGTGTTCTTCTCCGACGGCTGCGGAGTAGGAGGTCCGGTTCAGCTAGAAGATCATCGAGGTTTGCCCGAAGATCCCGCACAGGGGGCGTGGATAGTTCTGACGTTTGATCGCATCATAGCTGATAATCATCGTGTGAAGGCGTCTATCCTCGGCTGGCGAAGCTCCAAACTACGGAGAAAGGTCCCGTCAACACTAGCCGGCGAGACGCAGGCACTGTCCTCGGCCGTGGCCGAGGTAGTGTATTTGCAGGTTATGTGCAGAGACGTGCTCTTCCGCGACGTGACCGTTCGAGACGACCATCGCCGTTCCAGGCCCTTCACCACGGTACTTCGTCGAGATTGCCGGCCAACTGCCCGAGAGGGCCAGATTCACCTGGTAGATGCCAAATCAATATACGACACGATGCTTAAAGAGGGCAACGCTAGTGCGAACGATCGCAGAACTGCCATAGACGTAACCATTATTTGCGAAGCCCTAGAGAAGGCATCCGGGCGTGTCCGATGGATCCCCCACGGCAGGATGCCAGTATATTCTTTAACAAACGACGATGTAACCAAATGCGACGCAGCACTGTTCGATCTAATGACGAGTGCAAAACTCGCGCTGGTCGATGAAAGTCCAGAAGTAGATAGGCGACGACAGGGCCCAGGTCTGAAGAATCGATCCCCCGCGGCTTCCAGGAGAACGCTAGAGGAGCAGTCGATGAACTACGTCGAGAGCATCGGGGAGCACATCCTCCTGGAGTCCAGAGCCCAGTCTGGTGGTGGTGTAGTTGGTGGTTCTCCCCTCCTCACCTCTCCGACTCACTCCTCTGCCTCCTGCTTGTTTCGGCCGGCTGGTCTCTCAGACGGTCCCGTTTTCCAGCAGTTGATCACAAGAGACTGTCGACTGGCAGGAATGTTTCACATAAGTTAGATGTTCTCTACCCGAGAGCAGACCACCGAGCAAAGCCTCAGTGGGCCAACCCGGGGAGGGACAGTCTCCTCTCTTGTGGCGCAGCTGAATCTACAAGAAAGTCTGGGGCATGTGCAAGTGTCCCAGGCTTGATCGCTTAGATTCAGCACGGTGGATTCTGTTCCGTATTCATGCTGGCTCAAGGCTAAAAAAACACTTGGGGAGGGGAGTTGTTGCCACACCCCGACGTCATGATTTTGTCACGACGTCGGCCCCCAAGAGTCTCGACCCCTTCCCCAGGACTGGCTTCTCATCCTGAGTCGTTTCCTGATGGTCCCGAGGGCCAGTAAGGGTCTCCAGGAGCAGGCAATAGCGAACAAGTCCCCACTCTAGTTTTTTCATAGCCCGGGGGGTCCGGGCACCGCTCTGGCCAGCCGGCAGGGCCCGGGCCTGGTCTTAAGTCGGGCATGTCTTTGTACAGGAGGAACATCCCAAAATGGTCCCCAAAGACAAGTTGGGGACGATCTTTCGACTGTTTTGGGCTATATTGTGGAGCGCGATTTGATTTTGGCGTTCTTCCAAAATCCACCGAAACCCGATCGAAACTTGGTGGATCCTATAGTCGTGATTTGTTCAATGCAGGGCCCCCGGAAGTCTCGATACCCTGTCCCCAGGACCGGCTTTTCATCCTGAGTCGTTTGATGACGGTCCCGGGGCCCGGCGTGGGCCGCTAGAGGCTTCAAATCGAGAAACACCTCGAGGATTCCCTCGATTTGTTCCGTGCTGATTTTTTCAGGGCGTTGGGGGTCTGGCATCCGACCGGTCCAGCCGGCCGGGCCCTCGAGGCACCGGCAGCCCCGGGAGCCCTGCGAGCCGGAGCCCCCGGGGCCCGCGGGCCGCCGGGCCGCCGCGCCGCCGCAGGCCCGGCAGGGCGAGGACCGGGGCTTGGCAGCCTTCAGGTTAACTCTCGACCAGACGTAAGAGTGACCTTTCGCCAGACCCAGACCCCCTCGAGTTATGAAAAAAACACGACGGGCGGTTTTTCATTATTTTTGGCCTCTGGGGGCCCTTGCCGGCCCTCGGGACCGTCAACAAAAAGACTCAGGACGAAAAACCGGTCCCGGGGGATGGGTCCAGACCGCTGGGGGTCGACGTCATGAAAAATTCATGACGTCGGGGGTCTGGGGTGCGGGCGCAGATGGGTCCCCTGATGGCTAAAAACGAAGCAGTGGCAGCTGCTTGCGCGCCCAGGTTTGGTCCCCCCGCGGCCCCCAAAAAGTCGCGCACCAAAGCTGCGTATAGCCGAAACTCGGGCGTGTCCCTCTACCGGGGGGGGTATTCAAACAAAAATAGAAATATAGTCAGGGGACGATTTGTTTTGTTATTTTTGAGTATTTTTGGGGATCTTTTTGTGGGTATTTCTGTTGCTTGGCATCGTTCGGACTTATGTTTTTTTCCTTCGGCGAGGACCCTCGAGGAGCATCCTTGATAATTTGGCGAAAAATCCACGCACGACACCGAAAAAAACACAGGAAATGGACGTCCGGGCGATGGTCAGTTCATTTACGCCCAAACTCCGCTTGTAGGAGGACAGGCCCGACATAACCTTAAGGCGGGCCTGTCCCTGTATGGAGGAATACTCAAAAATGGTATGAAAGTAATCAGAGATGCTTTTTGCATATTTTTGGATACGTTCTGATATAGCAATCGTCTGGGGACGATGTTTGATTTTTCGTCCAAAATCCCCCTGTAGGAGGACGGGCCCGACGTGAATCGCAGCCGTCCACCGCAGGGAGGTGGTCGCGGGCCCCCCGTCGAGCAGTGGCGAGGCTGTCCTGGCTTGCCTATCGTAGGGGAGCGAAGAAAGGCACGAACATGACTACTCCAGATTTCGTAATAAAAGGGAGGGGGTCTGGACCCTCCAAGACAAGCCATCTCAGACCTCCCCCGTGGGAGAACCCTCCAAAACATCGTCCCCAGACCCCCCCAGGCCCTCCAAGATAGCCCGGAAGAGACCCCCCCGAAATGAGACCCCCCTCCCTTTAGTACGAAATCTGGACTACTCGGAGGTCCGCGCGGATTTCTCGGATCCGCGCTGGACCCCCCTGGCGGCCTCCGGCATAGCAATTCGGAGGTCCGCGCGGATTTCTCGGATCCGCGCTGGACCCCCCTGGCAGCCTCTGGCGCCGCCCCTGGCGCTCTCCGCGCGCCAGGGAGGGGAGGGTCCAGCGCCGATTCGAGAAATCCGCGCGGACTTTCGAATTTTTATGTCTATGTCATTCTTCGTTTCCCTGCGATAGGACCACCAAACAAGTGGCACGCGTGCCCTGGCTCTTGCACAAAGGAGTTGCGAAGGACAGGAGGCCCCCGCCTCCTTCTTCCAGGAGGGGTTTACGAGGAGCCAGGAAGAAAGCGGAGGAGGAGGAGGAGGAGGACGACGACGATTTCTGGGCCCTGGCCTGGTTTTGTTTCTGGGCCCTGGCCAAGAGTGCCCCAGTGGCTCCCCAAGAGCCCCCAAGAGGTCAGAATTGTGAGGATGTCTCAGGCGGCAGTGGCCAGACCACCTGCTCAGGGCATCCCGCAACTTAGAATGGCGAGGGTTTCAGGCGGAAGTGGCCGGACCATCATTGGGCAAGGCACCTCCGAGGCAGAGTTCGGCAATTGTCTCAGACGAAAGTGGCCTGACCACCTCGGCAGAGGTGGTCACACGACACGAAAATAAAGATGTCCGAGGCCCAGGGGGGCTGCCATGGGAAGCCTGGACGGGGGAGCTGGGTCTGGGGGGGGGCAGGGGGGGGGCAGGGGGACGAACGACACGACACGACACGAAAATAAAGGCGTCCGAGGCTCAGGGGGGCTGCCCTGGGAAGCCTGGCGGGGGAAGAAGCAAAGGGGGGGGGGCAGGGGACGAACGACACGACACGACACGAAAATAAATGTGTCCGAGGCCCAGGGGGGCTGCCCTGGGAAGCCTGGACGGGGGGGGCAGGGGGGGGGCAGGGGGACGAACGACACGACACGACACGACACGAAAATAAAGATGTCCGAGCTCTAGAGCACAGCTGTGCAAGAGAATAAAGGTTCCGAGGCTCAGGGGGGCTGCCCTGGTGCCCTGGGGAGCCTGGGCGGGGGGGGGGGGCGGCGGAGGGGGGGCAGGGGGACGAACGACACGACACGACACGAAAATAAAGGTGTCCGAGGCCCAGGGGGCTGCCCTGGGGAGCCTGGGCGGGGCGGGGCAGGGGGGGGGGGGGGGGGGGGGGGCAGGGGGACGAACGACGACGACACGACACGACACGACACGAAAATAAAGATGTCCGAGCTCTAGAGCACAGCTGTGCAAGAGAATAATGTTCTAAGATATTGCTGTCGTCTGGCGAAGTGAACATGCTCTGGATTAGAAATGTCTGGCCGATGTTGTCTTGTATCTGCACATCTTGTTTCTGTTGTAAGAACGTTGTTTTTGTTCTTCGAAAGAAGATTTCGTGGCAGGCCTATAAGAATGCCTTGGCGGTGGATCCCTGCTCAACTTTGGGGGCCTGGCCGTTGGCCTCGTGCGGGCCTCTTGGGGCTCTTTTTGGGGGCCTGGGGCTCTTGGGGGGCATCTTGTGGGGGAGGGCTCCCATGTGGTCGTCCTCCCCCTCCCTCGGAGAAGAGAAGACGACATAAACATAAGTAAGCTTTTGGCGCTCCGCGCGGATCTATTGGATCCGCGCTGGGCCCCCTCGTCAGCGCCTCCGGCGCCACCCCTGGCGCGCTCCGCCCGTCAGTGCCAAGGAGGGGTGTCTGGCGCAGATCCCAGAAATCCGCGCAGAGCGCCAAAAGTTTCTGTTTATGGTGTTGTTGCTGCTTCTATTAGGGCAGGCGGTTCAAAGCCAGATGCGATCGCATCGGAAAAATGCAGGGTGGAGGTCTTTCGCCTTTTTCGGCCTCTGCAGGCCCTCGCCGGGCCGTCAAAAACGACTCAGGATGAATAACTGGTCCTGGGGTAGGGGTCGGGACTTCCTGGGACCGCGTTTAAAAAAATCAGGACGTCGCACCTCTGGGAACGTTCGACAGATGGGGTCGAAGGATTGTGCCACATCGCCGATTCATCGGCGATGCGGCTCGATGTGGAGCCCGATTTTCCCCACGACGACGTCGCCGATTCATCGGCGGAATCGGCGATGTGGCGCGATTCTCTGACACCATCTATTCCGGCACCATCCGAGAGACTTCTAAAGGTTTGGGACGATCGAACTGGGGACGGAAAGAATGGGCACGAAGACTAACAGTGGTTCCTGTCCTGTCTATTTCGAACATGGCTCGCTGTCGGCGTCGCCGCGGATGTTGTCCATGTGAGACAGAAGGCCGCCTGCCCAACAGCGGCCGCTGTTGGTTTTGGACAGCATAGGTTGTTAGACATTGAGCTTATTTTTTCCGTATTCATTGCGGGCGTCCAAAATGGTGGGGCTTTGAGTCAGAGGAGCAAAAGATAAGTACGCACATTGCTGCCCTTCCTTCGTTTTCGCCCTGTTGGGCCTCCTGGGGGGCCCTCGTCGCCACCGCTGGGTTTCGACCTCCTGGTCAGAACGCGTCTCGGACGAGGTCGGGGAAGTGGCGGTATCGGTACCTTTTGGTTTTCCCATTGAGGGGTGGGTGCCCTCAGGACGAGTGGCGTCCACCAGGCGCGTTCCACTGTTCGCAAAGTGCCCACTCACAAACGTCAGGAAAAGCATGTCTGCATCGATGCAATGTAACCCCAACGCCCGGATAATAAAGGGTACCCCCCTAAAGATCCGAGAGTGTACTATCGCCGGCTTAAACAGGTTTGGTCGGGGGAGAGGGGCGGCAAGGCCGAACTTGATTATCGCGGGGGAAGGTTACGATTCGAAGCCGTTATCTTCTTACGTCGATTAGAAACATCCTCAAACACATGGACAGGATTTCTAGAGCACGGGCCAAGGATCTCGAACTCATCAGCAGCAGCAGCATCATGATGATAATCATCATCATCATCATCATCATCATCATCATCATCATCATCATCATCATCATCATCATCATCATCATCATAATCAGCATCATCATCATCATCATCAGCATCAGCATCAGCATCATCAACAACAACAAACACATCATCATCATCATCATCATCAGGTGGGGTTATCGTAAATCCCACATGGCGGATCCCGGCCATTTGCGAGTAGTGGAACGCGCTTGTCTAGAATGCGCCCTTTGGGCCCGAAGCAGTTTTTGCTTTGGGCCCGAAAGGCCCTCGCGTTGGCGGCGAAGCCGCAGGCACAGTTTTGTGAAGCCCTCGGCTACGACTAAGGACAGTTTTTTTCTTCGTCCAGAGGGGGCTGGGCCTCCACTGGGGGCTTACCTCTCAATGATCGAGGGTCGCTGTGCCCCTCCAGGCCCGAAGGGCCTTCCAGGAAGGTCTCCGGCCCCGAAGCTTCTCCGGGGCCATCCGACGTTCGAAGTGCTGGCTGCTCGAGCCCGAACAGCCCTGGCCTTCCCCGGGGGGCACTCCCTCAGGGGCTCAGGGGCCCTCCTTCGGGAGCGAGGGTGGACAGGGCCACAGGCCAGTGGAGGGCTCCTGCGGGCTATTTCTGGCGTTCTCCGACGCGCACAGCAACGGCGCCCAAGAAGCGCCGAGGCGTGGACTGCGCCAGCCTCGGCTCGGAGAGGTGATGTCTTGGCAGAGGGGGCGTGGATATACAGGATCCGGCTTTGATACGGAACACTTACCTTTCAAAGGGGGCTCGGTCGTTCCTTTGGTTTGCATGCGTTCCGCTACCTTTTCGGCGGCGAGCCTCCCTGGTGTTCCTTGGGAAAAAGGGACGTCGTCCTTGTTTATCGCTCCTTAAGTCAGGCCGAATCCTGTACGGGCGCCGACCCCTCCATTCGGCAAGCTTCCGCAGGCCAGCGGTGCAGCAGCAGCGCCTCGGAGG